TATACTATAGTAGTTTCCATTTTCTTTTCCATTATCCCCAATAGAACCCCAATATAACCCCAATATATACCCTATTATACTATAGTAGTTTCCATTTTCTTTTCCATTATAACCCCAATATATCCCCTATATATCCCTTTAAAGGGACCTAGGGTTTCCATTTTCTTTTCCATTATTCCTATATAACCCCAATATATTAGTAGTTTCCATATTCCCAAGCCTCTGGATCATGGAGCCAAAGTTACGAAACTCCATGATGCGCATGTTGACTAGGTGAAGCCACCACATCAAGAAGCTCAGCCTGGGGGCTTTATGTCGCGAGTCTATATAGCCTTCCTGAGGGAGATAGAATATTGCGGCCACACGCAAAATTTTAGCCCCCAAACAGCTTGATTTACTCTACTGCAATAACCACTGGCCACGGCCTAGCCACCAAGAATTGCCGGACAAAAATGCCAGAGTATGGCAAGTGCCGCTTTACAAATGCAACATTCACAGACGTACAGCAGGTATGATTACATTTTGACCTGCGCTTCTGTGGCATACGGTAGTTTCCCAAAATAAGGGGAACCCAATACAGACCCCAATATACTATAGTCCTTATCATGGGGACCCCCAAAATGGTACCCCTAATTCTAGGAAAACCCCACATATATAACCCCAATATAACCCCAATATATCCCCTTAAAGGGACCTAGGGTTTCCATTTTATTTTCCATTATCCCTATATAACCCCAATATAACCATTATAGCTTCTCTGAACATCCTCAGGAGCCCCAGGAGCCATGTTTGCATGGCAGGTGAAGGACTCAGATGATGCCCGTACATCCGCAGTAAGAAGGTTTCTTCTGTGAGGGTCCCCTAAGGATCCTGTTCAGTAGTAAACTCCCAGTTGGAGGGTCAGGGGGACTTAATATTCGTTCGGTTAATAACCAACAGAAACCATCTGGTAACCCTAATTATCTCCATTTCTAACCTACTTAGTGAGTCTCCTTGACCCCCCCAGCATGCCATGGATCTCATGCGAAAGGGAGACATCATGGTGGCAACGACGAAGCATAGCTCAGGCTCTCGGGGCAGTGACCGGCGCGTGTAGTTGAAGACCTCTGATCATGGGAGCCGATATCAAAATGCCTGGACATCTCGGTGCCCTACAGAACACATCACCTTGTAAGTACTTTGGCTACAACAATGGGTCCCTGATGTAAGGCATTATGCAGCCACAGAAAGCGTCGAGGCTTGCGAGAACTGCACCCGATTGTAGTGAGGAGATCAATTCCAACTCTTAGCAGGGGGGGATCCTGCTCCCTCTAGTTTCAAGAGGAACTTCCATCTGAATTGATGCTGGACCAACTTTAGTCTCCAGTGCGCTTTCCGAAAACTGCGGGTCTTGCAACAGCACGAGACAACGAAGGTACCCTTCCCTGAGGCTTGGCTGATCCAGTTTCTGGCCTTTGGTTAGTTGGGAATGAAGGAATGGAAAAGAAAATGGAAAGTACTATCCTAGACCCTCCTTCTACCCTCTATATACCCTAAATAGGGACCATATACCCATATTTAAAGGGTACAAGGAGGATCCTGGATCATGGTTTACATAGGGACTACTATAAGGATCCATTCCTTCGTTCCTAGCTAACCAAAGGTAAGGTTTGCAGAAGAGTTGCCACCAACACACGGCACATCGTTGCCAGCATGAAACACACCACTCCACCAAGGAAGCTGAGGCTGCACACCAGATACCTCAGGGACATTTGGGGGTGTCCTAGAATTAGTGGTACCTGTAGAGGGATTCTAGGGGTTATATAAGGGTGGATAGGGTTTAGGGTTTCCCAAACTTAGGGTTACCATTTTAGGGGTCCCAATGATACGGATCAACGCATCCTGGGGTCTCTAATGAGATTTATGGAAACTACGATTTCTCTGGGTGGTTGAAACAAGAAATCATCAGGGGGAATGTGGTCCTACCCTACACAGCATGAGTCCAGATTTTCTCATGAAAATTACTATGACGCGAAATCCCATCACACTACATTTTGGGTTTAGGGTTCCTTACTTTCAGAACCCCCAATACGGGGACCCCAAGCCAGAAAGCCTATTCGAAGCTCCTTCCACAACAGGCGAGCTAGCTCGAAGTCGAGCCTGGCAGAATTCCAAGTCCCATGTCCCAAACTCAAACTCCAAAGGTTGGGGGTTGGTGGGTTTTACCTGTAACCCCAATAACCTCCAGCACAAACGGCCCAAGCCGACACCCGCCCAATTTAACAATCCTCAAATCCAAAAAGCTGCTAAATCCAAAACCCGAAACACCAAACCCTAAACTCTGAACCCCAAACCCTAAAGATTCAAATCCTAAATGCAATCCCATCAACTCAAACTCAAGGTTTGCCATGATCAGGTCCATTGCGGTGGGCTCCTGGTCGTTCTGCTTGTCTAGGGTCTCGGGTTTAGGGTTTAGTTGTGCCCTAATGACCTCCCCCTCGCCGAACAATCATTCCCACTTTCATATGGGCTTCTGGTCGTAGTCCTACTGCATGCCGTGCTCTCTTGGAGTACCCTACATATGAGGGGTCTCCCGGTATCAGGGGTACCCTTTAGGGGGTCGAAATAACAAGGATTATTACGTTTTGGGGTCTGTATTGAGCTCCCCCTATGTTGGGAAACTACCATATAACCTCCTACGTGAACCCCGTTCGATTTTCCATTTTCTTATCCATGTTATTTTCCATTTTGGGGGCCTCACTACTTTGGTATAGACAAAAACATGTAGCCACAACCATCAAAGTTCCCAGCTTTCAGCCTTTTCACGTGGGTTTGAAAGCAGCACCAGTGTTCAAAATCTAACGCCCAACATCTTACTGGCTCATAGTAGGGAACAAGGGAATATACTACAATCCCAAGACAACCCCTATCTATCTCTATATATACTGCATTCCCTCATTCCCTACTGAGAAGCAACAAGAAATTCTGAAGCAACAAGCCTATAACGGCAACACAGCGAGCCACGCCCACAGCCCAAACCAAGATAATAACTGGGGGGGCGGGTATAATACATTATTACAAGGGTTGTATAAGGATAATGTAAGGATTATATAGGGAATATATGGGGATTTCCTAGGGATTATATAGGAAATGGAAGAAGAAATTGGAAGTTACTGTTTAGGGTTTGGGATTCACGGATCTCTTTGGTTCTTAGTATAGGGGAGGAGGGAACATATTTCTTATTGGGATTATGTAGGGCAAAAATTCCCGTGTCCCTAAGGCCCTACTAACCACCAGTAAGCAGAGCTGCTGTAGAAACATTGCGGGCCTAGCAAAGCAAAGTCATGGTTTGGATTCTAAAGCAGCAGGGATGACACCAGCAGAGATGACATATTTGGGTTATATCAGGATAATGGAGAAGAACATGGAACCTACTACGTTACAATAGGGCCAGTATATATTGGAGTTATAGGCAGGAATAAGGGAATATATTCCCACTGCCATAAAGACCACCCAAGACACCTGTCCGAACAACTCCCGTGCCCCCAAGCCAGGAACCCCCCACCGCCCAGCGCTCCAATGCCAGGCCATGCCGGCCCAACTCCAGCAGCTGGACATGCGCCTGGCAGTTGGCAGTTTCTATTTTGCTGTCCATAATTTTGATGATTCTTACCGTTAATTACTCGTATTGCTACTATACACTCTTAGCATTGGGATGATTACTGATTACTGTTCGCGACATCGTCACAGCTGTGACAATTGCAGCCCGTGTCTAGCATCGTTTCTGGACATTCCCATTGACAAGGCAAAGCTACTTGGAATACTATGTGAGCTATTATCTTAACTGTTGGTAAACCCCTTAGTAACCCCGATACAATCCTGTGTGTAACCCCCCTCTAAGGAGTCTAGACTATGGCTCATGTGAGCCGCTCTAGATTTATAGGTACTGAATGAACGATCAACCCACACACGATTTACAGATCAAATTCGTGCTACGACGAGAGTCTTCTTCAGCTCTAGTCCGGACCGTGTAGGTGAAAGTTGCAACAGCAAGCTGAAACTCCAACCACCCAGGGCATCAGGGTATGGGGTTTTAGGGCTTCGGGCCTCAACCACAAATTCCCAGATCTAGCAGAGTCTAGCCTTGAGCTAAGGCACGTTAGAAGTCTCCAACACTGCAGTCAACTCCAGGCACAAGGTGGCTGCAGTCAGGATCACATAAGCCTGCACGCGTACCCCTGGACTTACTTACTGAGGGTTAGTAGGGGATAAGGGTGTATATTATGCGGCGACTATATAGAGCTTATGCTCCTGTATTCCCTACCAACCAACAGTAGTTCAAAGTTGGGAAAATTTGTATGGTCTAGGGTTGAAGGTTGAAAGTTCTCCATTGCACACCATAGAACTCATTACCAGAGTATGTCCCAAAAATGTATGTAGCTAGGGCGAACAGGACTTGCGGCTCTGCCCTTCGGTCCAAACGGCCAGAAGGGCATGTGCAAAGCTGTCTTTTTGGCTGAGATAGCCGAAATAGCAGGATTCCTCGCCTTTTTTTTTGCCCTTGCCGAGCAAATACTTCCAAGGGGCTCACATGGGGTTGTACACCATTATAGCTTTAACCTACGCTCATGATGAGATGAGTTCATGGGCCCTCCGCAAGAGTTTGGAATATGCGACAAGCATAAGAAATATTTGTCAGGGATCCGTAGCAAGAACCGAAGGTTAACGATCTCAGGTCAGGCGCAGACAGAGATAGGCAGTCACGAGTAGGCGACTGGGCCGGAAAGAAGACGAACCCTCTCAGTCTTCTTGCTTTAGATAATCCATTCAGGGGTTCAGTAGGGACTGTATAGGGATCATGCAGGGATTACATAGGGAATGCAAAGGGGTTATAATATAGAATATTCGACATGCAAGGGGTCAGAGCAGGGTCTTTGAGGAGGAATCAACCCAACTAACCACGCAAGTATCGCCTCTTGGAGCGTACAATGTTACAGTGAGTAAACCGAACCCATCTTCCACCACAGAAGTAGCATTTTGCCACTTCACAAACCCCTAAACACTAAACTCGAGCCCTTAGCTGCAAAAAAAGAACCTCACAGCCAAGTGGCGCGATAAAGGAAATCAAACACCTCCGGCTGCGGCTCAACATCCTGCAACGGGGAAAGTGAAACCGATTTTGCCAAAATTTATGGGGGAAACTTGGGGGTTATATGGGGGATAATGGACAAGAAAATGGAAACTACTATAATGGGTTAGGGGATTATAGGGTATATGGGTGGTTGTCACAATTATGGTCCCTTTTTGGATCCCTATTATAATACGGCACCTAATATTTAGGGTACCCAAAAAGGGATCATAATTTTGACAACCATCCAAATTTATGAGGAAACTCCAACGAGAACCTTCATCTTTGAGGCTTGCCAGTGGAGACCTTGTTCCAACCATGACGAAGCAGGTATGAGTGTTGCAGCTGAACTGCAGTCGACAAATGTTGCGGCTGAGCTGCAGTCGACACCCCTTGAATTTCTTTCGCTGATTACGTATTCCAATGCGCAACGCCCAAGGGAAGACAAGCACACTCGCTTGGTCAAGTAAAACGGTAGGATGCTCACGTTACGCAGTGAAAGATGCATCACTATAACAAACTTGACATCTCGGAAATCGTGCTTTTGGCTCACTTATTCCCGGTCCCCGCACCAGCCGAACTTCTTGGGAGGCAAAAACAACCTGGACTGACTTGGATTTGAGATCCTGGGAGTTGAGGTTTAGGGTTCTTGCGATGTTGCGAATTCGGGGTGGGGGGTGCAACTGGTGGTTGTGTGGCTCCCACGCTCCATAGCTTTCAGTGTGCATGAAGAAGCTGTTTTAATTGCTCGAACCCATTTGGCAATTCCTGGTTCTATCCGGATCTGCATGATGAGAATGAGGAACAATACGGCAAAATGGTAGTTTCCCAAAAACCCCAAAACCCTACAATCCTCACTCTATAGACTCCCAAAAAAGGTACCCCATCCTGCAGAGACTTCTGGAACCCCCATATAAGCCTCCATTTCATAATCCACTCTCCACCTAGGACCTATTGGGGTCATGTCCCTAAACCCTAAGCTCCAAATCGTGCTTCCATTGTCTTGTCCATTTCCGTCATATCTTCCCATAGAAACCCTATATCATCATTGCACCACTTGCCAGGTCGCATGCCCAAAGCTGCTGAGCCGATGAGAGCCGCAGGAACGCGCATGGTGTCAGAGAAAAACTTCACTGCGTCATCCTCACTTGTCAGGTTTTAGGGGTTTAGGGTTTGGTGTCCCGGGTTTGGAGTTTGGGGTTTATGGTTTGTAAAACAGGGCCTCCGAGATGGGACGTGGGATATCTTATGCTGAAAGTGTGCTGATTATCAGGCACGCCAGCTCCTAATTCCTGTTTTTATCTGAATTGCTTCAGCGCTGCCCCCCTGTCCATCCTACTTCGCTGACTGCGCATACGTTATGTCCTACAGCCTTCTCAGAATGCTTGATGATCAAGTTAACTGTCCCAAGATCGTCATTGCAAAGCATACAACCCCCTCGGGCAGAGATCCGTGCAGGGGCTTTACGCTGACAAGGAGCAAGCTGAGCTTTGATCTCTGGCTTCAACGGCTGCGTCCAGTCCTCGGCTGATCTGAAGGTCCTTCCTTTCTGGTACTTCTGGCTTGAAACGCAAGTTTCCGCGAAAGAGAGCCCACAATTAGAGGCATCTGTAAAACCTCTGGTGATAATCGCAGTCAATCATGTCCACTTCGCTGCCCAGTTGCATCCTTATGCCCATCATCGACTTGAAGCCCGCCGCCGCCAAGAACCTCTGAGCGAACCTGATCAGCGCGCAGGAGGGTCCGGCGCATACACGGCTTCCACAAGGCTCAAGTCAAAATGCAGGCTTCCCATGCAAAAAGACATGCAACTGTGTGATGTTTCTCTTGCCTGTCGTCGCACCCGCCGCTCCTGGAAAGGGTCTCAGTCTCACACGGATGTTTACGAACGAGAGCAAATAGCCCTCCCCTTCTGGCGAATGTTCTCTCCAAAGCACAAAGAATGGATCTGAGGCTCGAGGACTTGTGTTCCCCTTCAAGCTCCTACACAATGATCCTGGAAATCATCGTGTAGGCATTTGACGGAGTCCTTGAATTAAGGTGATTTAGGGTCAAGGGTGTACAGGTGTTGTTGTGCGAAGCCAGTGGCAGCACAAGTGAGCCGTGTGCGTTGGCTGATCGTATGTAAGAAGTGGTTGTTGGCTTTTGTGGACCGAAGCAACCCTTGCGCCTGACACCACTAGCTCCCCAGCTAGAACAAATAGTGGAAAAGAAAGTGGCAACTAGTATAAATAGGTGAATAGGGCATATGTTGGCGGTAAATAGTATAAGGACAACGGAAAAGAAAATGGAAGCTACTCTTGTATCAAGCTATTTCTTTAAGAGCCAGAGCTTTCTCTGACACGTGTGCACGCAGTCCCTAAGCTTTAGCTTTTATATCTTAATTTACCGTGTCTCCAAGGCACGAAGTGTCCTAAGTTTAGGGTTTGGGCCGCAAGAAAGCTGGGAAAAGTCCCAATTCCGACCCCTAACCGTTAAGCAACAACCTAGCTCTCCACGTAAACCCTAGCCTCAACACTTCGAATTCACTATAAACATCTAACCCCTACAATTAACACCCACCCTAATCCCAAAAAGGGATGCAACACATTGGGAAATATCAGGACTCTAGAAGCTTGATAATGCTATCCTCTTTTAACCAATGATAATTCAACACACCCTGACAAACTCCTACACTAAGATTCCATGTAAAGGCCTGCGGTTAATACTCCCCACATAATCCCTACTACGGACCCCATGATCCACCTTTACAACCCCTGAAAAATTAGGGCCCCTAAGCCCCAAGCCCTATATGAAGGTTAACCGTTTCTTGCAGGGGTCTCCTCAAACGAGTTGAGGGGGCGGTGTGCTGCCAGGCGTGCGCGCCTGGCTTTGTGAGGCTGCTTGTATTAATGTATAGGGTTTAGAGTGTAGGGGTTAAGGGTTTAGGGGTTTAGGGTGCAGGGGTTTAGGGGATAAGGGTTTCGGGTTTGTGAAGGGGTCCTAGAGGTCATATCGGGCTTAGGGTTGGGGGTTGGGGATGTTCGTTGGAGAAAATGGAACAGAAACAGGAAAATTAAAACGCCACCGGGAGTATGTGAGGGGTCATAGCGATTGTAACGAAGGATCCTTCATAGCTAGAATAGGGTTTGTATATCATACTATAGTTCCATACGACCGAAAAGGGGATACTTGTAGCTATTCAGGCTTCTGTTGTCAAGCGCGTGTAGTCACTATGGTTCGATACAGGTCGTGGCAGAGTGGGTTTCATGTCTGGCATGGGCAGCTAGCGTCTTGCTCAACTCTGGTCTCAGACACGGCGGAACAAGCAAAAACTGCTATTTCGCGCATGGAGCACGTAGAAGGACCATGTAAGGTGTAGCGGTACATCATCGAAAAGTCAGTTGATGAACCTCCATTCCGAGAATCGTGGCAGCCGAGCCTGTTCCCCTGAACAAAGCTAATTATGCCTGAGATGTCCCACTGACAACAATCAGACTTGTCAGAACATGGAGCCCACTCACTCGGAAATCCCAGCGCCTCAGAGCTACTATTGGGAGGCTTCAAAAAAGTATTTTAATGAAGACTGCCAAAAGAATGCGAACAAACACGAAGAAGTAATGGGAAGAAACAAAGGAAACCTTCAAAAACAACAAAAGAAAAGGAGGAAACACGAAAACGTGCAAAAAAACGCAACTAACAAAAAGCAAACGGTAACAGGAAAAGGAAACAAAAAAAAGATGACAACGGGCCACGAAAAAGGAACGGAACAATGAAACAGCAAAGTATTTAAAAGGACACAGGGAGAAACAAAAAGGACAAGCAACGACACAAAGTTTTCAAAGGAAACAACCAAGCGAAAAACAAATAAAGAATATGGAACTTCGAAAAAGCGACAATGTTCCTTTGTGTTACCCTTTGTCTGCCTTTGTTTGCTGATTTCCACTTTTTTTTGTCTTCCCTTTTCTCCTGTTTTCAGGCAAAAAAGAAAAGTTGAGCAAACATAAGAAAATGCACGATTTTCTCGAACTTCTTGAGGACCACACAAGGGAACACGCATCAACAGGAAAAACAAAAGGACCAAACAAGGACCATTCGAGAACATGGTCGATCTTCTCGACCTTCCACTATGTTTGCTCGCTTTTCGTTGTGCTTCTGGCTTGTTTCCCTATAAGAAAGGGAAAGCTGAAAATGGTAGAAAACGCAAGAAAGTTATCGATATTCGAGTTTCCACTAATTTTGCCTAGTATAATTTGTTTTCCTTTGTTGTTTTCAATTTTCCAGATGTTTACTCGTTTTGTTTTTCCTTTGTATATCCGCTTATCATGTTCCTTTTTTGTGCCCATGTTGCAGTGGCTTTGCTTTTCTTATTCCGGCTTGAGGCTACCGAAGCTAGGACCACCCGCGCGCAAACATGAATGTGCCACTTGACGGCATCGGCTTCCTTTTCAATGAGCTCCTTCTGCTTCCGCTTCCTTGGCTGATCCTAAATCCTAAACCCAAAGCTCTGTAACCCTAAACCCTACACCCTCAACTGGGCAGTTTAGCTTCGGATGCTGGCAACATTCACAAGCCGAGCAGGCTCAAGACTCGTACTCCAACCATAATAGTCAGAACAATCTCAATAGGACGAATTGTAATAAGGTTCATACTCGTAATAGTAATACTGGCTAGAATGACAATAATAGAAACAGTAATAATGGGTCCCTCTGCATGTAGGAAACTAGGAATTAGTGTACTCCCCTCTACAGAGCTGGCTTTCAAGGAACGTAGCAGAAACCAACTCTCGCCCAGTGTCCTCTCCTCTTCCTCTTCCGCACGTTTCCTTTTCGCCTCCTGAGGGGTAAGGTCCATCAAGGCAACCAAGGGGGAAGATACACCAGTTTTACACTGGCTTCTAGTCGTATATCATTGTTAATTCAGCGCTCTGAATGAGATGATGGCAGTAGCAAGCTGTCTTGGTATCGGCATCATCCCTGTAGCATGTGGCAATGTGATAGGCTCCTCCTCGGCTTCCTTCTCGCGCTGCTTCTCCTGCTTCTCCTTCTCCTTCTCTCTTTCCTTCTCTTCGGCCTCTTGCCGCTTTGCCTCCTGCGGACAACAGCAATAATGATTGCCAACGGCCATAGGGGTAGTTCGTCGCCTCTGCAGCAGTGCAGAGAAGAGCAGGAGGAAGAACAGGAAGAAGAGAGCAACGCCAACGCAGTTATACCAGTGCATTCTAGATGATGCACAGACATGCACAGACACACTTTGAGAATTGCAACCGCAAGCCATGGCGGCCATTGACAGCAGGAATGGTAATGATCGCGAGCGGTCTCTGCGGATGCACCAGAGCTGGCCCCTGCTGCGGTGTAACATGTGTATCTCTGAGAACCCAGGTTCCCCAGGGACCCCTCAATAAAATCATAGGGGTAGCCTTTTCCTACTGTTCATCTTTAACAAGGAGACCCCAAAATAAAAGGGAAACAGGGTACTGCTGTTGTATCTGGGAACTGTATCGAGGTCTTCTGAATCCAAAGCCTTGAGTTTCAGCCCCTTACATTAGCCGTGTAAGTCCGCTTTGGAAGCAACGCTGACCCAGAAACACACACAGTTGTTCGCCACCAACAAGAAAATCGTCACGATTGAACTAAACAAGCAAGCCTTTTTTAAGAACCTGAGCCCTACACCCCAAAATTTACAACCACACTTTTAGGGTCCCTTTCAAGGGTTATACAGGGTTACATGGGGCTAGAATAGGGGTATATGAGCCAAAGTCTAAACTCCAAGTATCCCCCTTAATAATCCCTATGATACTCCCCCATATTCCCCCTGCAAGGATGTTAGACCATTGCTCATATTGGGGTAGGGTTAGGCAGCCCATGTCACCGCTATCAGCCTCCAGCTCTGCCTTCTTGGCAGCACTTCTTGTGCGGCCTGCAAGGGTCTGAGAATTGGGGTTAGGGTTTGGGGTTTAGGGTTACGGTTTTGGGGTATTCAGGGTTTAGGGTTCCGCGTTACGGTTTTGGGGTTTAGGGTTTAGGGTTCAGGGTTACGGTTTTGGGGTTTTGGGTTTGGGGTTTGGGGTTTAGGGTTCGTTCTGGGACGTCCTGACGCAGATCTGAATCTACTCTTGACTCTCGACAAGCAGAAAACGAATTTCCGTCTGACACCCTTTCCGCTACCAAACTCTTACATAGCTATAGGCTATAGGTCAGGTGGACCCCCCACCCAGTCATAGTGACTACATGGGATAGTGATGACTATATATTAGGGTCTCGCATATTTCTCATCTATCGCCATTACAGGGTGGGGGATCCACCGAAACTATAGTTTATACCCAGAAATCCTATTCTACTTACTGGTGGGTAGTAGGCAACAAGGGAATTCAAGCCCTATCTAGAGCCATAGTCTACCTCCTAGTATCCCCCTTAGTATTCCCTTCAGTAGTCTCTATATAATCCCTTATGTAACCCCCTTCAAGGAGTTTATCTTGTGGTTCACATGACATATTTCTGTATTACTCTACTGACCACCAATAAGTCTAGTTTCTATCCATAAACCCAGAACCCTATTCTAGGATTTGGGTTAGAGGGCATTTGGCGCCAGAACCTTCTGCAACTCTGTTAGGAATAGTTTAAAGGCGGAAAATATTGGTGTTTTCTCATGTTTTCTTTATACTCAGCTAAGCTTGGCTGCAACACCATGAAGAGCAGCACACAAGCATCAGAGGGCTGGAGCTCCTCCTTTAAGGAGGCTTTCCATGTTGATACTTAACCTCAGAATAAAGCACCTTCTGACTGTCACGCGACCATTTCACATTTTTTAGGGCTTACACCGTGCACCTGAGACCGTGCGGTCCCGCTATCTGCCCTAGATTTTGGCCAACAGGAACTAAGTTCTCGAGCAAAACGGACACGAAAGTTTGGCCTCACTCAAACCTGAACCTTTGAATACCGAACTAAGAAAATGCGAGGCATGTATTTGTTCCGCAGCCTGGAGACATGCTGACATAAACTGCATGATCAAGATCTCCTGAAGGCGGCCTTTCTTCTAAGAAGCCCTGAAATCCAAAATGAGCTTAGTCTAAATTCCTAGTATCCACGTTAATAACCTCTATAATGCTCCCCTATACTATCCCCTACATACCCCCCTTTAAGGAGTTGAGACTATAGCTCAAATGGTGCAAGCCCTACAGTCCTCCCCACGCCCCTTCCCTGAAGCGTAGAACCCTGGACCGGCCCAGCAAGTCGAGGTGGAAAAGCGAGCTGCACGGCCCGCAGCTCCTTCGATCTCGGGATGTATTTCCCAACTCAGTGGACTCATGTTTGGGCACCGTTTAGAGAAAGAGAGGACCCCAAGAACACCACACTGACCACCTTTTTGACAAGGATTCCGAGAGTTCACGTAGAAAGTTGAAGGCCGCACATCTATGATACCCACCGGAAGGCTATCAAAATCTAAGCTCAGCCATGCAAATTGGTAAGGTAAGCATGGGGTGCGGCTGCAGCAAGGGAGTCCTGGACAGGATGACGGCACCGGCTAATGCCTGACGGTGTTTTGAAGAATAGGCAGAAGGCCCTACGGGTATTTCTCAGACTATTAGAAAACGGGGAGGAATCTGCTACTTACCAGGGGACCTAGCAAATGGACCATCGTGTTGCGAAACTTGAATGGGAATTGTAATGAGAGACCGCCGCATAACTATCTATGGCCTACGGTTCAGGAGTGTAAAGGCAGCAGAAAGGACAACAACTCTAAGGGAGCGTAGCTAGTGTGTTGGCATAGAACATCTTGTCACCCTCTCTTAATGGAGGCTTCAGGTGCTTGGCGCAGGTGGTTGAGAACAGGCCCAAAGCTGCAGGACATTTCCTACGACTGCAACATCCCGACGACCACGGTACTTACGTTTCTGCTGTTCCACTTGGCATGCGGAGCAAAAGACATAGAAATACGTATTTCAACGGGGACAGCAAGGGAACTTAGAAGCCAGCCGCGAAATTGAACAGCAACGCGTCGCAAGTCCTGATCTCGGAAAGAGCCTTCCGAAGACAAATCGCACGCCCAGAATCACAGCAACTAAGCAAAAGACTCCAAAACTGATGGCTGAAGATGAACCACCCTCTTGTCTATGACATGGCCAAGCCGCTGTCATCACCACATGAGCCACGCGCCCATTCCGCCCCGGTGGTCTGGAGGCCACCATGGTTGTAGAATCAGACTTTCTCGTCAAAAAAACGGAACCAGAAGACTAACAACTTAAGAAACAACCGAGACGACCATGCAACGTTCAGAGGCATCGCAAAGCCCTCTACTTACGCGGGGACTTGCATGGAAGAGTCAAACAGCATCTGGTCCCAACATTGAATCCCAGTACGACCTCCCACTGCCGAAGAAATCTATCCTATCAGTCCACATGGCGGCATCAAAGCATGCGGAAGCATGGAAGAAGCCAGCAAGCCTGCCAGCTTGCACGAACCTTAATTCCCTTCTGAGCCAAGCTGGAGTACAGCAATCGGCTTGCCTGGAATCACTGGCGGACCTTTGCAATTCTCTTGGTCGGTACGTCCGAAATTTAGAGGTTAATCTGGAAGCCTCACGCTTTCTACTCTGAGACCTGGCAGCTCTCTATTTTGCTAACTATGCCACCACTCAAACTTTCTATCAATGAATCATTTGTTTGCTGAGGCCAATAGTTCCGAACGTTATTCGAGGCATGTTTGAGCTAGAGCTTTCTATAACAAACAAGGACTAGAAGGCAAGGTGCGGTGCTCCATCACTTAAGAGAAGGAGTTCCTCAAACTAGAAACCACTACATATACCACAGTGTTCCTGCCTACACAGACTTTCCCAAAAAATCCCATGAAGTTCAGCAGAAGCAACCGAAATCCTCAGCCTATTATAGTAAACCCTGCAAACCCTTAAGAGCCCAACCCTTAAGCCCCAAACCACCTAAACCCTAAACCCTAAAAGAACCCAACCCTTAAACCCCAAACCAATCTGCCCTCAACCCTAAAAGACTGCCAGGATCGGGGCCCAAAAGCCCGAAGCCGACTCTGCGGCAGAGCTTAACCTGCGGTGAAAGATTTCAGGGTGTTGGTAGGGAACATAGGGGAATCTAGGGATTACGTAGGGACTATATAGGGATTATATAAGGGTTATACATTCTAAGGGTCCAAGGACCCAAATAACATGGCTTTAGGGCCCAAATACCCTTTGTATCATCATATTTTTGGGCCCTACAACCCGATTCTTTGGGTCCTTGGACCTTGCAGGAACAGGGGCATGTCTACGACTCTATGCGGTTATAGAACGGAGATAGGGGAATGGACAAAATGCAAACAACCTCATTTGGGGTTCAGGGGTCTTCTTTCTGGCATCTGGGTTTGGCGTGTAAGGTTTCGGGGTCTAGTATTTCGGGCCTTGATTAAGGGCTCGGCCTTTGGCTGAGATGTTCAGGCTTTGGGTTTAGGATTTGGAGTTCCGGACTTATTGAAAAGGGGTGCGCGGCTTTAATTTAAGAAAGCCGCATTTGCTTTCAGGCCTTAGAGCTTGAAGCTCAGCATCGAGGATTAGGGTTAGGGCAGACGTCTATAATTCGTTCAGAATTAGGAGTTCACGGGGTACGGGATGTTGCTTTGGGTATCAGGCTTGGGCCGTGGTCATGGCTAAGGTGACAAGCTCAGACAAGCTGCAGACAGCACGAAAAGGGATTCCGACTCTGAACCGCAGATCAATACATTGTCTAACGATTCGAGCTAATAACCCTGCCCTGCACACCGTCGCGCATGTTATGAGGGTTTTTACTATAGAGCAAACTCATTCCAAAGCTCACTTTCAAAGGCCTTTCTTTGCGCATTTACTGCCCGCCTGCTCCTGAATCTCTAAGCAGGGCTTAGGTGATATGACCCCAATCATGGAAACTCACTTGGACGAGAGTATGGAGAATATAATGGAACCAGGGGAGATGCACGACTTTATCCTAAAAAAAGCTCAACCCTGCAAATTCAAAATGTCCAAAACCACGCACCCAATAGTAACCACAATGCATGGTCCTAATAACTACCGAAAGTATTTTGAGGACTCCTAGATGTACCCCTTTACCTTACTAACAGAATGTAGAACCATGATGTTGATAATTCTTACCGATTTTGCCCTAAACGTCCATTGAATTTGCCACTGTCTTTGCCATTATTGAGGTCATATCCCCTCAAATCATATACAATCCCTGAATAAGCCCGCTTTTGTCCGGGGCGGTGCCGAAACTTCCAGGCATTGCCCCAACAAGCCAAGCG